CCTATATACCAGAAATAAACTCAAATAGTACACATTAAATCAATATTATTTTAGCAATCAGTTAAATCTGAAAGTTTGATTCTTAGGAATGATAAATGATAATACCGTCGTCTCTAAGGAACGATAAAACTATCGTCTCTAGCATAGAGAACATTCCTAATTTAGTAATCATCTAACGATCATTGTCGATCATTTTTTGATCATTAATAATAACTATCGATCAATTAAAATTTATATAAAAAAATATAAAAAAAATATAATATATAATAATAAAAATTTATAAATATATTTATTTAATTAAAAATTTATAAAAATTAAAATAAAGACAAAGAATGAAAGAATTTTTCTTGTGCTAAAAGGGTTTTACCTAATTCATCTACTTCAAATATATTATTATCTTCATCTTCTTCTACAATGATTTCTTCTCCATCATCTTCTGATTCTTCTAATGTTCTTTTTGATAATCTATCTATAAAATTTTGAAAAAGTTTTTTAATCCTATCACAAAAATAATTTGTACAAGATAAGCATACAAAATTTAAAATTTTTAAACAATCACTATGATATGCATAACCACAAATTAAAACTTGTCGCGAATCTTCAGTATCTAATAAAATTGAACATTGATCATAATCATAAAATTTTTCAGTAGAAGGAGGTTGATTAGAATTATATCCAGTAGGAAGAAGCATAACATCTACCTTTATATTTAATGTAGCAAGAAAATATTGTGAATATCTTAATTGTCTTCCTCATGTACCATATTCAATAATATAACTTTTGTTTTGATTATTATATAATTGAGAAAAAAATTGTAATAAAAAATCTGCTGTAAGAAAAATCAAATTTTGTAATTTTTTGCTTTTTCATAGATATTGTTTTTTTTGAACATAAGTATTATTAAAATTATTCTCTTTACGTAAAGCATCTATAACAAATGCATCTTTTCGAAGTCCTTTATGATTTAATATTTTATGTGATGTTTGTCTTCGTAAACTAGAATGAAAATTTTCTACAAAATATTTATTAAAAAATGGAAGATTATCTTACATACATTTAAAAAGAGGATGTCCAATAGTTTCCCAATAAAAAATATCTGAAAGAAATATCAAAGGTGCTTTATTATAATTTTTGCATCGCATTTTTTGAAAAAGGCATTATAAACAAAATATAGATTCAATATACTAATCAAAAAATCCTCCATGAAAAAGATTTGCATATATTTTAAGTGTTAAAGGAATAAAATTATCTAATAAATCAATAAAAGTACGATATTCTAAATCCTTTGAAGTTTGAAATTTTTGAATAACTTTTGTTTTAATTAAAAGCCAAGCGAAATAAGTAATATGTAAAATCAAATTGATTCTTTAAGGTTTTGGTTTAGCAGCCAACTTTTTCCGTTATCCCATTATTGCTTTCCAAAGTTTATCAAAAAATGGCCAGTATTTCATAATAAGAATTTCACGACTATTTAAAAAAACATGAAGAGAACCTAACATAGAAATAATTCCTAAGATTTCATTAGGTATGTTATCATTTCCTTTTAATTTTTGAATAATAGCTGATTGTATATATACTTGTCTTGGAAAATCCGCGGGAACTGAAATTACATTTTGTTTTAAATAATTTTTAATTGGAGTAATATTAAATAAAATCTGAAGGGCTTCAAGATATTATTTGGTTGATTTAAGATCCAATGGAATTAAATCAACAAGCTTAACATATTCCATAGAGCGTTAATTTTTTGTACAATTGATTTGAGAATCATATACATGAACTGTTAACCAATCTTCTAAATCAGTTGGATTCATTTTTATTATATCTGGAATGTCATACCAGAATA